TAGTAAGTAGTAAGCAGTAACCTTAGGGTTTAGGACCGTTTAGGGCTTCAGGGATAGAGCGCAAGCGCAAGACGCAAGCCTGGTAAACCCCCCAACCCGCACCTGAGCAACCCCGTCAACGCCGAAACCGCTCCCAACCTGCCTTAAACCCCTGAACTTGAACCTAGACTTCGGCAATCGGAACATTGGGGTGATGTGATGCTACTGCTACAACTGTGTTGCGAACCCTGAACCCCAAGAACCAACCTAAAGCCTATGACTTCGATTTGCCATGTACCGGAGTTGGGATTTGGGATCTTGGAACCAAGTACTTTAGAAATACCTTATAACCTTATATAGGTTAATATGTGCTTACAACTGCAAGTATAATTACCTTCTGTTTCCATATTTATAACCCAAGTAACCCAAGTTATCCAGTCCCATGATTCTTAAAGTAAACCCTAAGCCCCGATACATTCCTTATAAAAACCATTTGAAGTACTATTGCTAAGTCCCAAGTCCCAAGGTGCTCCAAGTACCCTAAGACAAACACCCCAGATACCCGAAGCCCCAGACCCGACACCCCTAAATTCCTTAGGGGGTTCAGGGGTTTAGGGTTCCTGTGTTTAAGGGTCAAGGATTTCAAGGATTAGTGGGGTTTGGGTCTGGGTTTAAGACTCGAAGTTAAGAAAAAAAACGAAACAACCAGTCTGCCCAGTCTCTGTCATGTCCCGACAATCCTGGATTCCCGGCCCTCTCTACACTAACTCCTAACTCCAATGCCGCCATCGTGCTTCGTGCACTGTCGTGCACCACAATGATGGTGTCGCAATGGTTTGCTCCTTCAATGGCACTTGGGCAAGCTCGACTGGAATGGTAAACTACGGACGCTGGTACTCGCACGAGAATGCAACACTGCAACACTGCATACCTGATATCTTCAAGTTCAACCAATGCTTGCTCGGCACTGGAAGCAGATGCGATTTTTTCGGTTCTCGGCCTGAGATCCGGCTGCTGGTGTGATTGCGCAAATGCAAACCCGAGCCAATGAGCAAGCGCTGCGCCCTGGGCCCTTGTGCATGCAACTGCCATGAATGAAGTACTTCTAATTCTAATGTGGTCGCACTCACACACGACACACGTAATGCACCGTCTAGGCACAGCTTGCCCATCACCTCGTCCGATGGCTCATCATCATCATTGGAATCATCATCATCACATCATCCATCAGACTTGCAAATGATTCGCTAGGACAAAAACCAACATGGCCGTCGAGCAGGCCTGGTTGAAAGTGTTCCCTGCCATGCGCCGCTTCTGTGCAGCTGTGACATTGTTGAAACTGATCGGCTCACATGGGAAACCCGCCGCCTTCCAAGAGCTCTCGTTCACCGGCACCCCCTGTGCCAAAAGAAGCTCCTCAGCGGCGCAGCAGGTTCGGATTAAGTTCAAGGAGGCAGGAGGCTACTACTAGCACTCCCAGCGTCGCCCACCCCAGCCCAGCCCAAACCCTACCGTACACAGCAGTACACGGTCCTCTGGTGTCATAGGCCGACCACGCACCAAAGAAAACATGTGAGAGATGCTCGCCAGAATCACTGGCATGACTTGACCATCACCAACACAATGGGGATATTGCAATGGGTCTTGGTCCAGGTTGTTGCCTCCCGCCTCTCTCGCAGAGCTTGCTGAATCCATGGCATCCTCATCAAACTCATCAGATGGACCTGTGGCACAGTGACTGGCACAGTGTCCGTGGCAGTGGCACATCACGTCAGTCATGCCAACTCATTCAACAACGCCGTGTGTGCATACAGGACAGGTCTCTACTGTGTGCGTGTGTGTGCGTGCCCCGTCCGCCTGGCTGCGTGGTGGCAGCAACTCCTCAAACGTGGCGCTCGGATCCTTGAGCCGGGCCGCTGCCAGCTGGTGGCGAAGAGCATCCACCTTCCAAGTGCAACTACTGACAATCTGCGCAATCTACGCCACGGTTTCTATCGCTGAAGCCTACACTGCCGAAGTAAACTTACATTGGTTTACAGTTGGGCCGGTTGGGATTAGGGCTATTAGTTATAAGGGCTGCTTATGATCGGTTTATGTTGGTTACCCCAAACCCCAAAGCCCTGACGGCCCCTCCGCCTCTTCCTCGGAAGCCTGGAAGAAAACACCGCAATCCACACGTAGGGGGCTGAAGAACTTTCTGATGCTTTCCACATCTCGGACCACTATGCAATCCGCAGTCCGCAACAAAGCTGAATAGCTCCGTCCGCGTCTTCCGGGCCACCCAAAATCTATGGGCTCCAGAACCTTGTGAATCAGCTGGAAGCCGGGCAAACTCTTTGCCAGGAGACTTGGTCGGAATTGCCGCGTACACTCATGGAAGAATATCCGGGGAGAAAGAAGTCGAACAAGACCCAACATGATGCCGAAGGGAACCATGTATCGCCCCGTGAAGGGCTGGCGTTGCCTGTTCATTGTAGACCAGTCTTTACAGACGGAGCCAGCGAAAATGAAAAGGTTGGGCATCTCACGCAGGAGCAGGAGACTCATCGTGTCATCATTCTCGGTCCCAGCTGCGGCCGCCGCAGGCTTGCCTGATGCCGACTTTTCGACACACCCCACCTTCATGTTCCAAGCGCTCTCAGTCTCCATCAAGCACAACATGTCCCTCAAGAGCTTGTCGCCCATGTCGGCCACTGTCTCCTGGTAACTCAGAGAGCTCTCATGGGCCGCAGCAGGCACGCCTTCGTCGGCACCGTCGGCACCAGCCTTAGCCCCACATGCCGATTTCGACGCCGCCGACGAAACACTGAAACGTTGAATCTATCAGCTCCGCACTTCCAGGATTCAGGATTCGACCGGTCTGAGTCGGAGCTCTGAATTCTGTGCCTAAGAGCCTAAGAGAAGCCTGGCCGGAAACTCTAAGTGACTACACTTACACCCTTAAGTCGCCAAGGCTCGCTCGCGGACTCGGCCTGGTCCGCGTCAATCTCATGTCCAAGCTCAATCAAGTCGTCCTCGTCCATGTCATCATCTTGTCTCTTTCGCTTCCCGCCAGTCTTGCTTTTCTTGGGGTCGGCAAACTTCTCCTTGATGCTTTCCAACTTTTCACGGGCAGCTTCGACCAATGCCTCCATCTGCTGCACGACACTCGGATTCAAGAATTTGCGAAGATCTGATACGATGAAGTGCGGTGGGGACGCATGTTGCTTCAAAACTGCTTGACAGGAAGCTTCAACATCACACGCTCCAAAATTGACTGGTGGCGACGGCGGAGGTAGATTGACCAATCGCTCGTCCTTGCAACTTTGTGTCGTCAAGAACCGGCATACTGACTGCCAGCAGGCAGCGCAGCTCAGCTCTGCACCGCCAAGCCCGGAATACAAGCTAAGCAAGGCACAGCCACTGATGTTGTTCCTCAGGTTTTGGATGCCGTCCAAACCGAAGTGCTGCCATACGCGATGAACACACCTGTCAGCGTATTGGAAAATCGAAGTTGCATCCCTGGCTTCCTCCGAGACTGCCGGTATGGTGGTCATGGATGGTTCCTCGTCATCAATCTTGTCAACTCCGTCACCGTCGTGGAGAAAGACGGCGCCGGCACCGGCGCCAGAGTCATGCTGCTGCACGAACTCATCATCGGAGTCTGTGTACGCGAGAGGAACATCAACATCCGATGATCCTCCGCCGCTGTCCGAACCGGAGCCAGAACCGGAACCGGGACCGGAATCCTTCCCGCCGGACTCCGAAGCAGCACCGCCACCAGAACCTGGTAGATGTCAGCTGCTTGCTGTCTGAGGATGATTCAGGCTCAGGCTCTGTGTCTTAGTTTATATCAGAATCAACAAACTCAAGCCGAGACTCAAGCATTTTCAGTCTTACACACACATTAGAAACCAGTAAGCAGACACGAAATACTAAATACTATCGCTAAACCAATAACCAGAAAACCCTGAGCAGACTTGATTGCCGCTGGCCGGCAGTTGGGAGAGCGACACTGACCATCACTAACACCATCATCATCAACTTCGCCTTTCACCTTGCTCTCGACAGTGTCGATGTCCTCCAAGTCTGCCTCATCCGCAGTTGGCTTGGCCTTCGCCGTCGCCTTCGCCTTCCTCTTGGCTTTGGCCTTGGCCTCCTTGGCCTCGCGGTAGCCCTCATCCTCCTTGTTCGCACTGGACTCCGCACCATTTGCTGCCTGAGCTCGCTTGCTCTTGGCCTTTGGTTTCGACTTGGATTTTGCTGTGGCCTTGGCCTTGGGCCGGCCCTTGGCCTTTCCGGCGGGCTTGCTGCACGCGTCATCAAGAGCCTCGCCGTTGTCACTGGCATCATGGCCCTCAGACTCGGACTCCTTGCCCTCATCAGTCGCAGGATTGCCCACATCAGGATCATCAGGGCCATCAGAGCCAGTGCCAGAGCCCCTGCCCTCCGAGCGGGCAGCCTCCAACTCCTCATCATCTACCAGGGCTTGCTTGCTTTTGGCCGAAGCTTTCGACTTGGATTTTGCTTTGGCCTTGGCCTTGGCCCGGGTTTTGGCCTTGGCCTTGGCCTTTTCGGCGGGCTTGCTGAACTTGCTGCACGCCGGAGCCTCGCCGCCCGTAGCCATAGCCGTGTCCGTGTCATTGGCATGGCCCTTGGACTCATCGACCTCGTCGTCGGTAGCAGGATCGGCGGCTGGCTTCACTGGTTTAAGCTTGCGTCGCGTCCGTGCCATGGCTGAAACCCAGAGCTCGGGGCCCAGGCCTCTCTGGCCTCTGGCGTCAAAGCGCCCAATCCTATCTTGGGCTACGGCTCCTAGAGAAAGTTGGAAATTGGAAAACCCCGAAGAGTTCGGAGCGGGAAGATGGTGCTTTAAGGGTTTAGGCTTTCGGGGATTCGGAATTGGGGCTGAATCTTAGGGTCTTAGAGTCTTAAGTCTTAACCGTCTTAACTTAAGTCTTAACCCCTCAAATTCATTAATTGATAAACTACGCCAGCCAATGCAAGCTTCAAGCCTCAAACCAAGCTTAAGTTACGTGTGATGGCATGCACAAACTTCCGTGACTTCACAACCGCC